AGTGATTCCTTTATATCTACATTTTTTTTTTCTTAAAAATTCTGCACCTTTTACGTACGCATAAACTCATTTTATTTGCGCAATTATATAGAAGATTATATAGAATCGGAAAATTCGCTGACAAAAAGTTAAGCCGTTTTTGAGACTCGATGCTGTATCTATGTAATCTTAGATTATAGTCTAATAGCTGCTAGTTTTCCATAACTTTTTCCACATGACCGAAATATGTCAACTATATTTATTTCTATCCCAAACGCTACTTAGGTATACTTTTATCTTTAAGCTAGGTCAATTAAGGAGTCACCCAGAGCTAATCGTATGCCAACGAACTCCATTCTTAAACAGATCTCTTACTGTTTACTACAAATATTTAAACCATTACTTTCGGCGTCACTGAAAGACAGAAACAGCAACTTCGTAGTATAACGACGCGTATATTATTTTGAGTGAGATGTTTAATATATTTATAACCCTATCAGACAATATGTTTACATTTTTCCCATTATAATGCACCATTCATTACAATTTTATAGTATAGTTATTAATTCATCATTTTGTAAAATATTTTAACACGATATCTGTATATATTTCGTAGGAGACATTTAAGAAACATAAATTTTGACCGATCTTAATTACTCTTATAAGATCACAATAGAAGTCGAAACAATAATTGTTAGAATTTTTGCCTGTTAATACAAAAAGTTGTAAAACGATTTGGAAAAATGTTTTTTTTTTATCTGAACCAATAAACTTACAGATTGGTTTTATAGAAATTTTATTAAAATCTGTGACTGGTTTTTACACAATCGAAATCTGTTTTTTTTTATTCTTTATTGTATACAAAAGGTTATTAAAATGTAAAAACAAACATAACAGTGCACAAAGGCGAGCTTATCTCCAATAGAGATTTCTTCCAGCAAACCCAATATGATAAGTTTTTTTGTGGAAACAATTTTATAATTATAAAGAGTCTCTAAAATATTATATTATAAATTGTGTAATATATCGAAGGAGACAGCTCACATCAAAGCGTTGCGTTGTATCCACAATTATATTGTTCCCATTTCCTAAACCTATGAATACAAATATTAATAAACGTTGTCACACTTCTCCTAATTGATGTTAAAATATCCGTAGCTCTATAAATATTATGAGGCACTTTAGCATATGTTTTATAGTCGCTAACAACACACTAGACTCTTAGCTGCTCTGAGTTCATGTATAAATATTTATCACATCATCATCATCATCGTCATCATCATTTCAGCCATTATCCGTCCACTGCTGGACATAGGCCTCCCCCATAGACCATCATAAGAAACGGTCCTGAGCCATTTGCAAAAAAATATTAAATAAAAAAATAATATTTTATAATTTATTTTTATTTGAATTTAATAGGTAAACATACAATACCTAAAACACATAACTATTAAATACAGCAATAACATAAATCAGTAAAGTTTCCACAATAAATTAACACATCAAATGAACGAGAGCAGACGATTAATATGAAAAAAAAAAATAAAACAATAACAATTAACATTTTTAAAACTGATTTTTCCTCTTTAATTATACGGAATCTATAGGCAACGGTTACAACTTTCCGTCAGCGTGTTTGCCATTCTAAGTTGCATAAAAAAATTTGAGCAAAGATCCTCTCTCACGTGTTTTTTGTATAAGTTTACATCTTCTCTGAATACGTCTAAAGAGAGGAACTGCTGATTTTCAGCAATTCTTTAATTATTTAATTACAGCTCTTTTAAGAGTCTGAAAAATATAAATTATTATTTATTTTAAACGTGTATAGCCATTACATGTTTAGTACAGTACATATTGAAACATGAATAATAAAATAATACGGATAATTTTTTAATATATATTTGTTTTAACTGATATAAACACCTTTTTGTAGATTAAAAAGAAGAATAACCCTTATAAGAAATTACTCATGTAATTCGTGTGTGAAAAAGATATATTAAATAGCTTATTATTTCTAGAATTAACCGGAGAAACCTTGAATTTACATATTGGATAACACACTTTAAAGATATTCGAAAATAGATATCCAACCGATATGGGTGATATCGAATGGGTGAGGACCTTTTATTGCCATCAATGTCAAAAAGAACTCAATATATGGATCAATATATATAATCTCTTCTCAAAGAGATTTCACGCCGGCTGGTGGAAACCTCTGGTTTCTGGTCTGGTGACCAGAAGGCTGGCCTATACTTTGGTCAACGCATTTCCATTGCTATTCAGCGTGGAAATGCGGCAAGTATCCCAGGCACCCTACCAGCTGGCAGTGATTACAAAGAAATTTTTTTAAATATTTTTTTTAATTACTTGTTCTTGATATATATATCGGATTGGTATCCATATTACCTACCTATACCTATTTATTTGTCATCACACTCAAAATTGTCTTGGTTGAAATGAAAGCTGAAGTATCTAGTGTAGAAGGACGTGTAGTGTCGTAACATCTTTGTTCCTTTATGAATGTTCAGAGCGCTCGTAAAGTGGGCCTGTGATGTTTCACGCCAGATATTATGAATATTCCAAGAAATGACATTACTAATATGTGACATACATATGACCTTTACATTTAAATGTTCACCATGAAACTGGAAACCAAACTGAAGAAGCTTATATGGCCATTTTCAATCGCAAAAAAATCCTAAAATAGTTTATTATCATCTCAGCCATTATCTGTCCTTGTCAATTACAATAGAGTCCTAAAACGGTTCATTAACATAATCTCAGCCATTATCTGTCCACTGCTGGACATAGCCCACCCCCTTCCCATATACAGCTAGAAGGAAAGGTCCTGAGCCACCTGCATCCACTGACTCTTTGCAATGCATCTGAAATCGTCACCCCAAATAATGGGAGAAAAAGGGCGTACGGTGTCGCCACTCAATAATATATCTTCCCTATCGGTTCTCGGTTCTTCCAGCTATGTGATTAGCCCAGTGCTTGTTCAGTTTGCTTGTAAACACAAGGACAAGTACACAATAGTAAAGACGTCGTCTCTTATTGTAGTAAGTATTTAAGTGGCTTACAAAAGGGAAATTTTCTCAATTCGATGTCCTCGCCAATTCTGAACGGATTTTGATTATACAGAAAGACACTGTCTAAAAGTCGTTTTTTTTTTATGCAACTTAGAACGGCAAACAAGCTGACGGCCCACCTGATGGAAAGTGGTAACCGTCGCCTATAGACATGAGCAGTAGTACTATGGACATGCGTTGCCATTCCTGATGACTCAGGTGTTATTTCTTTGTATCCTGTAAATTTTGCTGGCAATTCACTGGCCACCCTTGAAACCGAAACACAGCCATGCAAATATAACTACTTCACGGTAGAAACACGAATGGGACAGAGGTGTCCAAGCAAACGACTTGATGATCTATGCATGATTACCGCTATTCCACCAGTGTTAGAACCCTAAAACGACCACGCTTGCATGGCTGCGTTAGTGATGACCACGGTATCTTTAACACAGCACTTTCTGAGATTTCCATGGTGATTGGTCCATGGTGCCATTTTAATTATTATTGTTATTATAGATATATTTTTTTATGCAACTTATAAGGTTCACTCCTATGTCGATCCTGTAAAAATTTTCTTAGAAATGAAGCCGCAAGTTTTTTAGATTCTAATTAAACTCTCATTATGTGGGGGGAAAGGGATTGTTAGTAATGGCGACTGAGAATCCCATTGCTAGCAATATACCCAACCAGGTCGAACTCCTCGCGGTTCCCCCTGGAAACTATCATGGTTAATTCCTGATGAATTCATCATGATGGGCTAACTGGCCTGTTTTCATTCTCACCTATCACCCTTCACTGGTGCTCCGCCAGCGTATCCCGTTAGCGCAGGTGGGGTTACCATACCATTTTCACCCATCAAAAAAAAAAAAAAAACTCTCATTATGTATAATGTTCAATGTATTGTAATATATAGTCTTAGAGAATTACGCTAACATTTCTACATTATATTTTAGCATATGTGAATTATACGTCTCATTTTATGGAACCACGAAAAATTCAGTGGATATTTTGTAAACACGCTGGACCGGAATCTGAATTAATTTAACATAATACAACCGACACCATAAGAATGTGTGTGTGTCGACATCGTCAGCTGAAATAACATCACTTAATAGTGGTACACGAATGATGCCCTCATTTTTATTCGTCAAACAGTAGTCACATTTAATTAAATACTCCGAGGAATCGGAATCTGGGAATACAGTTTTATTCCTAACAATAGGCTGATAGTTAAAAATAGGTATAGTGCGACTAATAAATTAAAAGCTCAGAGCGGCACGCTATGTACTCTGTAACGCTCAATATATAATACTATGTCTCTATAATAATTCAAGAATACTGCAACCAATTGTAGTCTTTATCAATATGAGGTTTGTGATTGTTATTGTATCCTTTCAACTTTTATTGTAAATTCAAATATTGTTCGAAAAAAGAACAGCCGAGTTTCTTGTCCGTTATTCTCACCTGAATTTGGAACTTGGCGGTTGAATTAAAAAACATGGCTATTACCTGGTACAGAGGCATAATACCTTGGTTTTCAGAAATGGCAACACATTGTATCATAGGTTAAACAATAATCAGCTTGTTTGCTATTCTAAGTTGTATAAAAAAAACACGTAGAAATTAGAAATGTAAAAATTTGTAAACATATTTTTTTTATATATATTTTTGTTAATTAATCATCTTTAAACATCTAAACGAGTTTAATAATAAAAAATATTATTTTATACTATTATAATAGTGATAGTTAAATGAAGATTTATTATAAATATTTATTTAATGTACCAGTTTTACACGTAACTATCTGAAATCAGTACGATTGTCATCTACAGTGGTAGTGTTATACCGGATAAATGGTCCCACGTGTGAGATTAGAGCCGGACAGCTGCTCCTCATTAGACTTTGATGTCCCGCGACCTACACAACTCAACTCGTGTTTTGTTACAGACGGCGGGACACGCGCTATGAACAAGAAGTCGCATAAGAAAAAGGTTGGTTCAATTTTTTATTTTTCACGAACATGAATCTTTCCTGTCGATAAGAGATCATTGTAACTTACCTCTAAATATGTGAAATGCCAAGAATGTCATGTATGTGTTGATATCTCGAGACACTTCCTTCCTTAACACTATTTATTGGTTTTTGTATTTTACTCACGAAAAAATTATTAATTCACTCTTGCGCCACCTACCCGCTACTATCTGTTCTCCTTTAAACAAAGATTGTCTGTAAGAGATTGCCCTAGCGATAAGACCGCCTTTTGTAACTTTTTATGTATATTTCAATCTATATTTATGTTAATGTATTTCACTTGAATTGTTCAATTGTCATTGTATATTTTTGTTTATGGTGCAATGAAGAGTTAAATAAATAAAAAAATAAATAACATCATAGATTCCCAATCGTTTTTTTAAAAGAAGAAATGTTAACATTCCGTTATTATAAGTTCACAAAATAATGAGTAGTATTCATATTTCCTTGAAGGAAAATCACATGGAATATAGATATTAGGTATAAATAGTAATTTATTAAACATTTGTAAGCCTAAAACCTACTGGGGTTAAAAACAGTCGCAGAAGGTAATCCTTGTATCTTCAAATCTTTATGAAGTAAGCTCTCTGTTGAGGTCTAAGTATTTTTGTATTTTGAAGAGCTACTTCATATTACAGAATCACGAGAATTGGTGAGATTACAGTCAGACGGCCCACCTGATGGAAAGTGGTAACCGTCGTCTATAGACATGAGCAGTACCATGGACATAACAGAGTATACTGTTTCGCCCATGATATCTCCCATGCGTTGCCATTCATAAGGACTCACATGTTATTCCTCTGTACCCTGTAAATTTACGCCATATCCCACCCTTCAAACCGAAACGCAGCCATGCAAACACAACTAACTAACCTGCTTCCGTCCTCACCTATCGCCTCTCACTGATGCCTCATCAGCGTATACCGATAGCGCGAGCAGGGTTACCATTCCACTTGGATCCATAAAAAAAATCACAAACCTCGCGTGGCGTAACTCCAATTAGCTGACGAAATAAAGAACACTATCTGTGTGGTGGCAACAAAAAGACCAATTCCTACAATTTGCCCCGTGCCAAGAGAGCTATGCCAAATACTACTGGTACTATTGGCATTTGGCAGCAAACATTGGCACTCAGCAACAGCTGATTGATGCCCTGTCGAGGCTACAGTGATGCGGAGGCGACAGGAATAACGTTCAATTTCTATTATCACTATAGTCTATAGACAGATACATAGTGTTTCGGAAGTTAAGCCACCTCTTTATGATCAGTAAAAAGTCAACAATTTCACATTTTCTTATTATGACATAAAACGAATAACATACGTAATGTTGGCAACACAACACGATCAATTAAATGTAATGGCAAAAGTGCCCTCTCTCTCTCTCTCTCTCTTTCCTAATAAAAAATCTGAACTGGATGCACGTGTCTTGTAATTATTACTTCAAATTATTTATACTTAAAGTCAGTGTTATTAATTTATTTATTTATTTTTATTTATTTAACACTTTATTGCACTCACATAACAGGATTTGTTGAACAATTTTCAACAAGTATAGTGTAGTACAAAAGGCGGTCTTATTGCTAAGCAATCTCTTCCAGACAACCTTTGAGTTATTTTATTATTGTTATTTTAAAGTCATTTTGAAATACCTAATGTAAAACTAAAATTTTAAAATTTGAAGGTAAAAAAGACACTTCGAAATTTCGAGAATAAAATACATTATTATTCTATGTTCGGTTTTTTGTTTTGTTTTTTTTTTTTTAATTCTGTGTTTCGGTTTGAAGGGTGGGATATGGCGTGAATTTACAGAGTACAGAGTAATAACATTTGAGTTCTCAGGAGTGGCAACGCATGGGGGGTATCATGGGCGAAACAGTACTGTTAAACTGTTATGTCATTTGCTACTGCTCATGTCTATAGGTGACGATTATCACTTTCCATCAGCTTGTTTGCTTGTTTAAGTGGTATAAAAAACTTCCTCTTTTCAAAATCATACCACGAGGATGGGCCAGCGATTGCATCCATACATGCTAGAGCGACCACGCTCGTGGACAAATAAAGTTGCAAACTTTTATGTGAACCGTACCATAACGAGCGAGAGAAAGTACTTAGTGAGCTGGCATAGTGTGGCTGGCATAACGCTAAAGTTATAACATAGGTTTGGTTTTTCACTGTCATAATATTATAAATACTTTAATAAAAAAAAAAAATATTATAGGCGAAAGCAGATAACTTCAATGAATAATAACGATATTATATTACCTCTTTTAATGTTTATTTTTAATATTTTATAATATATTAATACATAAATAAATAAGAAATAAAATTTTACTTATGTAAGATACAGTTGTATAGAGTACAATTTACAATTTTTACAATTTATATTGAACGAGAAACAAGTCTGAAAAATAATATTACCTCATAAAAATAAAGGCATAATTTATATTGGACTGAATAGGACGTTTAGTTTCAAAACAAGTTGATGCACCATATCTAAATCTGTACACAAACAAAACAAACGCAGCGTTTGTACAGACAGACATTCCACGAGCTGTTATTACTTTATCCAGCGGCATATTAATAGTTTACGATATTTTATTATTGAGTTTAAACAACAAAATAATAAACTGACAACGCAACGGACGTTTATTTATTTATACTTTATTGTACACAAACATTACATTCATGGGTATTTCTCTGTAAACCTGGCCTGCCTAGACAGCTTTCTTAAGACGAGTTGCCCAAATTAGTCTTAAGAAAGCTGTCTAGGCACCTTTTTTACTTTTATATTAATATAATGACCGGGGAAGTACCACACCCTCACAGAATACCGACGCTAAGTGGTTGCACTTTCAGTGCGATCACATTCCGTATGGTGAGTGAGGGAGTCCGGAGGCCCATCCCATACCCATCCCATACCCATCCCTTTCCTATTCCTAAAATCCTTTCCCCAACCCCGTCCCCCTATCCTACAACACGCAACCATGGCAGTGGAATTAAAAAAAAATAACATACCCCAGGGAGGTACCAGTAACCATGTTGCTGGAGAATCCTCTCTCGAGCAACCACGCTCGGGCTGCCCTGCGTATTCTGGGGGGGGCAAAATTCCGCTCTTTGGAACCAAGGGCAAACGGAGCAAAATTTCTACGGCATCCCCTTCGCTCAATGTGAGCTTCTGCAATATTAGGGGATTACATTCTAACCTAAACGCTGTCCACCACCACCTAGAAACGGCGCGGCCGGCATTGCTCTTTCTAACGGAGACACAGATATCCTCTCCAAACGAAACTTCATACCTGACGTACCCGGGCTATAAACTTGAACATTGTTTTGTTTCGCGTGCCGGTGTATGCGCGTATGTCAGAGAGGATATCTGCTGTCGCCGCCTTGGAACTCTTGAAGGTACGGACCTGTCCATTTTATGGCTACGCGTAGACTGCAATGACCATCCTCGCGTCTATGCATGCCTATACAGGTCCCACAGCGGTAACATCGAAACCGACCAACTCATTGAGCACGTCCAAATGGCTACAGATTCCCTGCTCGAACAGATTCCTTCCGCTGAAGTCGTGATTCTTGGCGATTTTAATGCCCACCATACCGAATGGCTTGGTTCACGTACAACCGACTATGCGGGAAGATCTGTTCATGACTTTGCTTTGGCTTATGGTCTGACGCAGCTTGTTTCCTCGCCTACGCGAATACCTGATGTGTTGGACCATTCACCTTCACTGTTGGACCTTCTGCTGACCACCCACCCAGACAACTATGTGATTTCCGTCGAAGCTCCGCTTGGATCGTCGGATCACAGTCTAGTGCGGAGCGAGGTGCCTCTCATGAGTCCGATTCCACCACGTTCCACGGGTAGACGTCGTGTTTGGCACTACAGGTCAGCAGACTGGGATGAGATGCGGATTTTTTTCGCATCTTACCCATGGAGGCAGGTTTGCTTCACACTGGATGATCCCGACGCCATTGCCAATTCCATTGCTGATGTGGTGCTTCAGGGAATGGAATTATTTATTCCTAACTCTGTGGTGCCCGTCGGCGGGAAATCCCAGCCCTGGTATGGAGCCTCTTGTAGAACAACATCTCGTCTGAAACAGGAGTGCTTCCTAACCTGGGCTAAAGGTGTGGCGTCGCGAGATCCTAACACCAGTGCTCTTAAAAAGAAGTATAACTCTGCCTCTAGGTCTTTCAAAAGAGTTATAGCCACAGCGAAGTCAGAGCATATTAGTAGAATTGGCAAGAGATTGGCTAGTTTGCCCTCTGGAACTCGAGCTTTCTGGTCTCTTGCCAAAGCTGCACAAGGGAATTTCTGTAAGTCATCTTTTCCACCATTGCGCAGGGAGGATGACTCGTTGGCCCAGAACGCTAAGGAAAAGGCCGATCTTCTTGGATCCATCTTTGCGTTAAACTCGACATTGGATGACGGGGAGAAATCACCACCGACCATCACGTGTTGTAGGAGCTCTATGCCTGACATTAAATTCACGCATAGCTCAGTGCGTAGAGCACTTTTCTCCCTCGAAATCCATAAGTCGAGTGGGCCCGATGGTATTCCTCCAATTGTGCTTAGGACGTGCGCTCCAGAGTTGGCTCCGGTTCTTACGCGTCTTTTTCGGCTTAGCTACTCATCGGGCATAGTCCCAAAGTTTTGGAAGACTGCTCTGGTGCATCCGATCCCTAAAAAGGGAGATCGCTCAGATCCAGCTAACTATAGGCCCATAGCTATCACTTCCTTATTCTCGAAGGTTATGGAATCCATCATTAACCGTCAACTGCTCCGGTACCTAGAAGAACACCAGCTGATCTGTGATCGCCAGTACGGCTTTCGACAGGGACGTTCGGCCGGTGATCTTTTAGCTTACTTAACACACCGATGGGCAGTGGCTATCGAGAGTAAGGGAGAGGCCTTAGCAGTTAGTCTGGATATCGCGAAGGCCTTTGATCGGGTG